CTATTTTGTAATTTTTATGTGTTTATGCTATTTTGTAATTTTTATGTGTTTATGATGTATTTCTTGATGTTGTTATTGTTTTTTATTGACAAATTGTAGTTTTTGTGGTGAATATTGTCTTTTAAGTCTGCTGAGCATTTTTTTGTAATTTTGAGATATCTTACTTTTATTTTTTATTTTTTATTTCATATTCTGGGCTGATATTCCTATTGTGTGTTTGCTTCTCTTTCAGATAACTGAGTTTTATGATTTTTCATATTTGATAAGTGAAATGTATTTTTAGTTTAGTTTTTACTGGTTAAAATTTTGTGGTTCATCAGGTGAGTATTAAATTGTTGGACAGCGCAAGATACATTTGATAAGTTTAGATTATGGAGTTCAGCTTTAGACACATGGCCTGGCAGGGGACCTAGGAGGTGCTGTTTAAAAAAGGGGACTGTTATAAAATTGGGCTAATGTTTTAGTTTTTAGTATACTAAATAATTTTTTGGTTCCTCTATTAGAAGGCTTAATCATTTTATTTGTGAGGTCTGTATGTCTCAGACCTCAAAACGGGGACTGTTAAAGAAAAATGATTATTTTTTAGACTTTATTACAGTTAATCTTATGGCATGTGTAAACACTCTCACTTGAACATATTTCTTAATTTTGAACAAGGCTGTGTTAATGATTTAAAACTACTAATGGGTAAGTATTTAGACCACCAGCCCATAGAATGAGTATCTCCTGGGGGGTGAATAACAGTTAAGCCTGCAGGAGAGATTTCTGCTTGATTTACAGAAGGTCAAAAGTCTTCCAGAATAAACAACCAGGGATGGTGAGGCCCCCCGCATTCCACAAGCTGTCTGTGAGAGCTTATCTTGTGTTTTATGACTTTAGGAATTCTAGATGCCAGGACAAGCTTTCCGCCTTTTCTTGTTAAAACAAAGAAGCAAATGACCCCAGATGTTTGCAGTAAATAAGGGGATAAGGGGAAGCCCTAGCAGTGTCAGAGATGGCGTTTGGTTGGAGGACCGAGGGCCAGCCTTTTTGAATGGATTAGATACAAGAGGATAAAGCTTTCTATATAGAAGAAAAAGATCAGAGTTGCCCTTGCAACTCTCCAAAGATGTCTCTGTACTCTTTGCTTTCTTTCCTCCTATGTCAGGTAATGGAATGTATGTCTCTGTTGTTCTGCAGTTTCTGGTGTAGGTTTGTGCATTGTCTTATTTCTAAAGTGTATGCATTGTCTTATATTGGATTAAACTCTGTAATTCTGTGACGTCAACACGCAATGTTGGTTTTATTACCAAACGCAGCTCGCCGAGTGGACCTGGGGAAGGGAAGAATCAGAAGCCAATCTTTTTCCAAAGTTAACTATGTTAGAATATTTTCTTCCTTTACAGGCCTAATATGAGCATTAAAAGAAGATACAGCAAAGAATAAAAAGACAAAATCATTAAACAATCATAAAGATACCCCAATAAGTAGAATAAAGATTCTGAGCAGTTATTAGCAGCAGAAATGTGTCAGGCTGAAGACTCAAATCCGATTCGGTCTGATAAGAAAGACATTTCCGATGGAGAGAGTTTTTTTTTTTTCATTCCGATTGGTGTCCATGTACACATCTGTTTGCATCTTTGAAATAAAATAATCTCCTCTGCACGTGTGCAACATCAGTGTGATGTTTTTCCTCTTTACTAACCTCCATTTACTGGTTCCTGGTCCTCCTTGGCGGAAGATGTGGCTCCAAATGTAATGTAAGGATGAACATGCCAACAGAGATCAACAGAGACCGTGGCAGAACTGAAGAAAAAGAAATGTGAGGGACAGGCACAAAGAGTAGCGAAAGTTGAGGATAAGCAGACAAGTATGGGTTTGTTTACAAAACAGGCAGCTTCTTCTAATAAAGCGTTTCTGGAAATTTCAACATTTCCACGCATGCTTAAATGATTTAATCTCACATTTGGTACATTGATTGGTTGATTGACTTTATTGATCTCACGGTGGAGAAATGTACTCTTTGCATCGACTCAATTAGTCAAAAAGAAGAAGGTTTAAAAATCAGAGAAGGGTGCATGGGGTATATACAGTAGATACAGTGCGTCCACATATACATGCAAGGTTGGGTGGAGGGTTGAAGAGGAGAGAAATGCAGAGAATGAAGCTGAAGTGATTTCTTGCAGATTTATTAATTCAAAAAGGGTTGCAACTGAGGCAAAAAAATAAAAATAAAAAAAATCCAGAAAAACAAGGACTAGATGACTTCAGGGAAAGCACACAAGTGTAAAGACAAAACAAAGATCCAGCAAACAGTGACTGAACAGGAGGTGTTTATGGGAGACAGAAACAAAGACCAGGCTAATCAGCAGATTGGGAGCAGATGTGGAAAGAGGAATCAAGAGGGGTGCTAGGAGACAGACACAAGAGGGCAAACAATACATAAGAACTCAAATACATCCAGAAAACACCACAAAATGGGAATTACACCAATAACACCAGAAAACACAGAAAATCATGCATAAAAGTGAAACTGAACCCTCAAAAAAAAGAAAACCTAAACAGAACCAAAAAGTGCAGAAACATGACTATATATACATATGACAAGTGGAATCTCTTATTTAGCAGGATTATTTTGTAGGGTTATTTCACAGGGTATCAACATGCATATTTATATATATATATATATATATATATGGGTATTTACATATATAGCTATTGAACTGGGTATGAAATATAAAAAAGCAGGATATTGCACAGGGAGAAATGTATAAACACATAATGACTGGTTAATTTTATTTAGTGTCCATGTGAACAGAGATTTTGAATTTCTGATCAACCTAGGTTTAGATCAGAATGGGGACATTTTGCACGTGTAAGATAGTGTAAGAAGTTGAATGCAAGGTTGTGTTATGCCACTATCCAAAAAATGCAAGGAGCAAGACACAACTGCAAATCTACCAAGAAATATGGTAGTTATCCAGCTAAAGTGAAAAGTAGCCCCATGGTTGATTTGAGTGAGCTGCAGATCCACAGCACTGTTTTAATGTGTTGGTGCACATGAATGGATCACATGAATGGATCAGAATAGTCTGGACAAAGTCCACATGAAAATCTAATTGAAAATTTGTAAAATCTTATATCAGGAAAAAAAATTGTTATAAGCACTGTCTTTATATAGGATACAAATAATTTTAAGGTGCTGTAAATATTTTGCATTAATAATACCCTCAGACGAATCAGCTTATTAGAGCCTGTTTTTATTTTAATTTTCCTATCTAATGACTCAATGGCGTAACAACACAACAATAGGCCCGTAAGCAACATTATCTGGGTGGGCCCCATATGAAGTACAACACCTTATCCCTCCCCACGCGCCACCAGACACCGAGCCGAAATGTGCCCCATACATACAAACTCTCCTGGTCGCAATCTTCACTCACTATAGCAGCAACATCCACTATTCCCTTATTGGTTCTTTGAAAGACCGTGTTTATTTTGGGAAATTCTTTCCGTTCTTCCAGCAGCTCTTCTTTGGTTTTTCTTTTCTGGAATTCTCCTAAGTACCTCGTTTTTGTATCCATCGTCGCTAACACATTGTACGTAACGTTTATGGTTTTAATCGACGCTCTGGATTACCCATAATTCCAAGTCGTGTTGTAAAAAATAAAATACTCAAATACATTGTTCTTTTAAGATCTTTATCGCGGTTTGAAACATATTATATAAGTGGATTTTTTTTTTTTTTTACCAACCCTCAGATGGACTATACACAGTTATTAACATAGTAATTACAAGTACCACTGTCTGTTTGCTATTGATGTCGTGTTTAAAAATAAAAAAATGGCTCACCATCATGTTGAAATCTGCTATTTGTTGGGGTATAAATAAGGTCTGGACAATCAATCTGGTATCATGTGCACCATTACATCTGCAAAGAGATGTCCTAGTCCACAATAGCATAGGGAGCCACCCAGGTGTGAGTGACGGGGCCCTAAGCAACTGCAGTCTCTGCTTACCGATAGTTACGCCATTGTAATGACTTAATAGATGAACTGAAAAAAAAGCCTATATATATCCATGGCTGGACATCTCTCCGCTTGTCTGACTTTTTTTAAGGAGTATTGATAGGGGCGGAGCTAGATGGGGGGCCAGCGGTGGCCATGGCCACCCTTAGCCAATCATTGGCCACCCCTACCATTTATTTCCCTCTAACACAGACGGTGGCAGCAGTAATACTCTCAAGTGGAATATTCAAAACATTTTATTTTTTCATATATTAACAATTAGCTGATAACAAAAACACTGATGTTAATTATGCACATCAATATACTAACATCAAAGATAATAAACACAGATTTCAAGCAGAAACAGACTTTGTGTTTTATGGGATAAAGAGAAAATTATGTTTCTCTGCAAGTCATCTAGGAGTCTCCACTGAAAACGTATCAATTTATGTAGATATTAGTACTTGCAGAATGATTATTGATAAAAGTGGAAAAGACGTTCGTCCAAAACTCACACCTGAAAGAATTTCATCCATTATACCTTTTATCTAGAAAGTACAGATGTATAATATATTTATCTATTTCTTAGAAAAGACCATGGGAAAGTATAGTTTGACTTTATTTAGAAAATATGGATGTTTTGCTCATTAATTCTCCTGTTGGAACAGTATAACCGTGAAGATTTGGTGCCTATCTACTTAGGGTCACCCCTCAGCCTACAATGGTTATTGCCTGGCCACCCTTTTTAATATTTTCTGGCAACGCCTCTGATATTGAACCTTAATGATGGAGAAGAGGAAATTCTCTTAAATATTGCAGTCACAGGCTCACACAGAATGTAATATAACACAGGTCTCCTTGCGAGCCTCAGGCAAAAATATACACAATATAGTGTTGGGGGAGCCTTTGCAGCAGCATGTTATCCAGAGTCTGCTGCTAGGTGGAGCCCGAGTATACGGTGAGAGCGTCTGTGCGCATCCGAGCTCTCCCTTCCTTCACCTTTCCACTGGCGCTCCAAAACCGCCTTCATACAGATTCACTCCCAGCCAGTGCGCACTATTGGTTTGTCATAGTCGCCGTGAGCGCAGTTTTCTTTGGAAAATCACTAGACTTGGATGTTATTTTTTCTGAAAGGGGAAAAAGAAAAAATATATACATTTTCTGCTTTTAAGAGTCTTCTGGATACTCTTTTTGTTGTTTTATTATGACCGATGAGGTGTCGCTCTTCCAGCTTCCACGGGACGTGATGTAGCCCCCGTACAGAGAGGAAAGACTTGTGACTACATATTGGGATGTAAAGGAGAGAAGTGGGGACTGTGGAAAGCTTCTTGTTGTGTTTTCCTTGTTTTTTTTCTTCCTCCCCTCGGGATTCTGGAAGGCACAACCAGACTAATTCATAGGAGTCTAAACCGAGCGGCTGGATTCGCTGCTCTGTCTCCTCGATCCCCTTCAAGCAATCAAGCAACGTTTGAAGAGGACACTTTTTTTTTTTTCTCCTGGTGAAAAATTGATGCACGCTTTGAATCCGTGCATGTGCACAACTAATCTTTAAGCACGGCGCGGTAAGTGTGGCGTTCCTCTGCATTTTTCCTTGTGCGCGCATCTACTATTATCCTGCAGATTCAGCTCAGGGCGATGATAATGTCCACCAATGAAAGCCTGCAGCGGCGTTAGAGGCGTTAAACTCGACTATTAATGACTTCAAACTGGAATATATGCGCGTTTTTTATGATAAACCCAGAGTTGATCAGTGCGCAGGATAAAGGGATTTAAATTTCCATCTGGGACTAATTCATCCGACCTCTCAACGCTTGATTATCCTCCAATTAATCAGTATTGCTGCTGTTTTTCTCTCTGGAGTTTAAACCAAAACTATTGCTGCTGAGCACAGAAGTTTTAAAGCTCAATGCATATGAGGGAAGTTTTTTCCCCTTTCTTTTTGCTTCCAGTTCTGTGAGATGCACCTGACTCTGAAAGGCTTTGTGTCTTAGCAAAAAAAAAAAAAAAAGGTGCTGGAAGAAAACGCAGGCCTGGGCTGTGCAGCATCGTCTGAATTTTTTATTAAAGGCTATGAGTGTGTCTTAAAAAATGTAAAATAAAAATAAAAAAACAGGCCTGCAGAGCAATTGGCGTGCAAAATCCACACCTTTCCACCAAACACACAACTCTTTGTTGACTTGTTTACAGCTGCAGGGAATATCCAATGCCATCAGAAAAGCATGAAAACTGCACAACACGCATGATTTTTTAATGCACAAACAAAAAATAGTTGCAAATGGCTCCAGATTTAGTAACAATCTGGAGAGAGGGGCAAACTTCAGTTTTAAAAGGCCCCACTGTGTCAAATCCTTCAAACCGTGGCGATGAAGTCTTTAAATATGGATACAATTTGGAATTATATCTGATTTTGTCATTTTTATTCAGCATTTTATTCAATGCATCCTTATCTGACAATTAGGACCATGATATCCAGGACTGCAGCACCATCTGTCATATACACAGCATATAGGTGGAATTTCCCTCAAGCAAATGACACACATTTTTTCACAGTCTGCACACACTTCTTGCCTTTCTAGCAGCAGTGAAAAACCTTGACTTCTCCCCCACCCTCTAGGGGGAAACTCAAGGGGACATTTGATGCTTTTCGACTAAACTGTTAAGCCAACCTGCACTTTGTTTTGTCTCATCCGTTTTGACTCAGTTTTAAGTGCTCCTCCTTGAGGAATATAATCTGGGTGGTATTTAATCTAGCTGTAGTTGAACCCAGCATCTGGTGTGATACCTGATGGGGATGGCACTGCAAGAAAATAAAAGTGATTCCTGCTTTTGCAAAATTCGATCCGCGTTCTTCTTAGTGAATTGGACATCTAAAGGAATCAATGTTTCCTGGTAAATCTAAGTAAAGAAGCAGAAGGTGAAAATAAAGTTTAACATAGCACGAAAAAGGGTTGGAAGACGAGGATGAACAGTTTTATCCAATTATTCATTAAGATAATAAAAGGGATTCTCAAAAGTTAAAGTTAGTAAAGGAATAAGTTATCACTTTCTTTTGGCTAGTTAAACACATTTTCATATATATGTATTTTTGTATGTTTTTTAACAAAAAAAAAAATAAATCATAGATCACTTATTACGATTGGTTGGCCATAATTACTTTAAACATGGATTATCAGACTTTTACACATATTTTGTTCCTTTATCCTTTATTCTCAACATAAGATAACATAACATAAGGTTGTTACTGAATGGAGGAGAAACTCAAAGTGTCAGTGTTTTAAAAATAAATTATATAACACAAAGGCTTGAGATAGGAACATGTATTTTCTGCATGTAAGCTGAAGCTGTGGCTTAAAACAATAAACATTGGAATAAAATAAAACAGAAAGCTTCTTCCCTGTTTACACAATAGTTTATATAATTTCAATAAATGATCTGAACTCATAACCTCTAAGGAAAAGGATCTTTCTTCCCCATGAGACGTGGTGGAGTAAACATAATTAGGCTGTCTTGTTCGTACAGTTTCTTGTTTTTTTCCTACTGAATTGTGCATTACAGTAATGCAGGTTGATTTTTCTGCCGCCTGAAAAAAACAACAACTTTTGTTTGATTTGAAAGAGGGTGCACCTCTTCATTTCTCTAAAAAAATATTTCCATTGATTTGATTTTTGCCATTTATGTAAAGAAAGGAGCACTTCAATTTGTGACTGCTGCGTGAAAGAAGCAGGCTTTCATGCAGTCTTTATTAGGTTAGGGTTGGGATTTAGCTTTATGGTTTATCCGATATAGCTTTACATATAAATTTGCATAATTGCCTTTCTTTTTATTTTGTTTAGTGAGTATACTCGGGTGCTTTAGTGTACTATCGGCATATTTCTATATGCTTTTTTAAATTCAGGAATGTTGTAGAGGAGATTTTGCTTCCTTAGCCTTAATTCTTTGTTGGTTTGTTTTAGAAGTTGGAATTCAGATCAAGGAATTACATCACCTGAGTTTAGAGTTGTGAGATTTTGTTGGTGACCTGCTAAAGCTCCAACTAGGCAATAATGATGCATTTTTATTAACTCTAGTGGTCTTTCAGGATAAATCAGAATGTAGATAAGTTGATTTTTCTAAACCAGATGTTTCAGAAAAGTTTTGTAGTGGCTTGTCCAACAGAAGATTGCTGACCTGACAGGCGTTCAGCGGAGAGTTAGTCGATGTAATAAAAGGTCATGGCTAAGTACTCTGACTGTTCAGACGGTTGTATACAATTATTTAAATGAGAAGTTGTGGGAAAGGTAATTGTGTGGTAGAAAAAGGTGCACAATCACTAGGAATAACTGACACCCTGTGGGGATTGTGAAGAAAAGCTCACCTGAGGGTAGAGGAGATTATAGAAGTGTGCGACTGACTGCGACTGGAGGCAGAAATTCCAGGGACACTAGATGTAGACGTATCCAGGGCATAGACTGTAACCTTTGTGTTCTTTGGGTAATCTGACACCTGGAAAGATGTTTTAAAAAAAAAATCTCTTTCTGGGTTTGGAGGAACAAGAAATTACTGTTTTCTGTTAAAAGTTCCACGTTCTTTTCGGAGCATGTTATTGCCTTGCCTGATTTGTCAGAGAGCTGGCCTGACCTTAACCCTAGAAGAAAATCGACACAGCAATGCAAAAACGAAGGGGTGAGACTCCAAAACTTATGGAGATAATATGAAGGGGGTTTCTAGTGTTTCAGTCTGCAATCCTTTCTGAATTCACTATCATTTTTTATTCATTTAAGCAAAATTCCCTTTTTATTGAAAGCAGAATTTTTGAAGATTCATTATCCATTAGTAAGAATTATCTATACTGATAGATTGACTTATATCAACCTGTGTAATAAGTCGAATCCTCCTTAAATTAAATTACTAAAATTTCTCTTTCTATGATATTCACATTTTAGTTGAGGTACGCAATCAAATCCGAAACATGTTGACCAAAACTAACTTGTGCAGCACTCTCCGTTCCACTGCTTTAATGAGATACAAGCCACCAGAATTGCTGTTTACATCTGCAACATCCAGATGTTTTACTTGCACTGCAGCCATATTGGATCCTGATATCTGCTCTGCAAGGGCAGCTCTGACATTTGAAATGGAATTCCTTTTTCAAGTGGCCTTCTGGTAACGTTGGCATTGGTTATCTTTATGTCTATGTTTTATTCTTAGTAAGGAGCTAGAAATGTTTCACCCACACCTTCGAAATATGGAAAAAGATTAATATATTTAGATGTCTTTTGAAGGCAAAACGGCATGACTGCATTGCAGTTGTTTTATTTGTTGTTTATAGCAATGTAAGTCCAAAAAAAAAAAAAAAAATGTCATTCCCATAAACATGGCTAACCAAAGCTTAACCCCCTTAACAGATTCTGACCATAATGAAACAGGAGTGATGCTGATTTAGATTGTGCCCTGTTTGGGCAGTGATCGAGTGGAAACATCCAAGTTATTTAGAATATACAATTCCCACACTGTGAGAGATACTTGCTAAAAAGTAGAACTCTCCACAAGAACTTATCGAAACCTGACACAGGTTTTAGTTGTTTGCAAAATCTTTTGGTTTAGAATTGTGTTAAAAATGGGAAAAAAAAGAAAATGCTTGAGGTTCAATCTTGTACTGGTGTATATCTAATAGAAGCTTCTACATAAGTTAATATTTAAGTGTGAAAATAAGTGCAAGAATGACAGATGAGCAACTTTTGTTTTTGTCTGTCCACTTAAAATGTTTGAAAATATTTCGGAAGGTCACGGGCAGCAGGGACATTGGATTTTCTGTTCATAAAACTAAAAAAAAACATAATTTCGGTTGGAGATAACAAAAGACGACATTCATCTTTCCAATCCTTTTTTCCCCCTTTTTTTACTGCCAGCTGGCAATTACTGCAAAATGAGATGAAGTGCAGCAATTCTTGTAAAAATTGTTGGTCTCTATGGCTACCATTCAGCAGGCGCTTTCTTACATGTGGAAACTGCAGCATTGCCTGCTTTTTTTACAATACAGTTCATACAATAACAGACTGTCAATACTTGGTGCACTGGTCTGCTTTGTATAAAATGGAATTAATTTCAGCTGCAATAGTGGATCTGAATTAAAATGGTCATAAACAGAAAATGTATTGAGATGTACAGCTACCTATGTCTTTAATATACATGTTCTTGTGATTCCAATGAGAAAACCTTCGGAGATTTGCACAACTAAGGATTTCTCTGCGCTTCCTTTATTTCTGTCCACTCATACATTTCAGCCTTTTTTTTTCTTAGCCAGCAGCTATTTGTCTCTTTCAGCACATAAAAACCTTAAGAACACCACATTATTGTTCTTGAAAAAAAAAAACATCTCTTCTTTCCATTTTATTTATTCATTTATTTATTCATCATTTTAACTCTTATCACAAGAGGCACAGTCTGGGATGCTTGACAAATTAGAAAATACGTCCAGTAGAGAAGAGATGAGCTCTGGATTCAGACATGCTGTCTAAATGATGGATTTTTAAAACTTATTTGGCAGTTGAATGGTTGTTTATCCCTGCGGCTGGATGCTGAC